CAGATCCGAGAACTCCCCGGGCATCCGCCCGTCGCCCCCGCAGCTGCGGCATCGAAAAGGACCCGACTGGCAACGCGTGGGTCGCGAGGGCGGGGCTCGGGGAGCTCGGGCTGGAACCGGGGTGGCGCCGCGCGAAGCTCATCCAACGCTTCGCTGAGCTGTCTTTCCTGCGTGGCGCTGGGGGCCCAGAGGTCGCTCCGTATTTCCCGCGATGCAGCGTGATTTCGCGGGGGGGGTGGGGGGCTCCTTCAATGGCCTTGAAATGCGCGAGCAACTCTTTTTCATTCCTCCTAGGCCGCGCGCGTGCCTCGGGCACTCCGCGGGGGGAGGGCCTTCAGCGACCAGTCCTCGACGGCCTTGGCTGAGTTGGTTCGGGCCATCGCCCGCGCCCATGTGAATGGCAGCGCGCCAGTCAAGCAGGGCTTGATGCTTATGGGGGTCCACTGACTGCAGTTCGCGAAGCTGGGCGTGCCATTCGCGGGGAGACTGATCAGCTGACAGATGAACAATGAACTGATGAACGCGTTCGCTCAGTTAGGCCACTCTGAATTCAAACGGCTTCTAAGAGACTGTAGGCCAACATGTCAGAGTCGGCTGGGCAAAGCACCTGCTGCTCTTGCCATGATTGCTGGGCAGCGGGGCGAACTTGCACGGCCTCTCCTCTGCCTAAATTCCCATGCAGCTCTTCCTCCTGCTCTGGGGAAGCGGGCGCCACCATCCTTCCCATTGCGCGCGGACAGAGGACGCGAGACATATCGAGCTCAGCATTGAGATGGGCGGACTAGTGTGGATGGACATGCGGCATGTCAACCTCGGGAGGTGGTCGCCAATCTCGCGGCGCAGCTAGGACATGTTTGGGCTGGGGGAGCTCGGCCCCCCCGCAGATGGGCGCAGTGCGGGTCCGAACTCTCTAAGCCATCTCCAGCAACGACGCCGCGCGTGGCAAACGAACTTCGAGGCAACAGTGCGCCTGGAGCGGTGAATCCTGGTACTTAGTTGCACGCAGGTGAGGCGCCAATGTGTCGCGCGCAATGACACTGCCAAAGAGAGAACCACCGTTGCCACAGGAACAATCATACTGAAGAGAAACCCCAATCACAATCATTTTAAGGCTATAGGGCCATGGGGCTCTAGGGCTATAGGACCATCGGGAAATAGGTTTATATGGCTAAAAGCAGATATAAAGTTACCGGGTAATAGGACCCTAGGGCTATAGGGCCTGGGGGCCATAAGGCTATAGGGCTATAAGGCGAGAGGGTGATAGTGCTATCGGGCTATTGGGCTATATGACTACACGGCGATGGGGCTGCATGGCTAGGGCTATAAGGCTATAGGGCTAGAGGGCAGTCGGGCAATAGGGCCGTGGGGCTATACGGCTATAGGGCCATAAGGAAAAAGTCTAAATTGCATTGCCTACTGCATCGTCAACCTGCTCTGCGTTGGGCGCAACATCAGACTGGAATGACAGAGATAATCCTACGCGGGCCATGGGGCTACAGGGCCATGTGGCAGCACGGCAATAGAACAATGACGCTGTTTGGAAATAGGACTATGGCACTATGGGGCCACCGAGCGCCCAGGCACCCGGGCACCTGGGCGCCCGGGCGCCAAATCCCACGCCTCGAAGTTGGCCTCCATGGGCCACGGGGCGCACGGGGTGCAGACCATCGCGCGCCGCGGCACCTGCCCCGCCGTGGGCCCTCGCAGGAAAAGGCGACGCTGGGGGCAAGCGGGGGCGCCGCCCAGCGGTGGCAACGTAGCGCTTCGCAGACTTCAAGGGGGGGGGCGAACACGACGGCGCCAGCTTCTCCGATCAACTGAAAGATGCGCGATTTAGCTGGAGCGCTCCAGCCGAGGACATTGCAAAAATGGAGACGCAAGCCTTGGTCGCCAAAACCGCTGCTGCGGCATCTGAGCGACCGTAGCCGTGAAGACAGGACAGGACAGGGGTCTGCGCGCCGGCTCCTGGCGGAGACGCGCCCTAGAGAGCAGGCGTCTCAGGTGCGCAGCTGCAGCGAGTGCGCGCGCGGCAACGACGAACTTAGAAAAGAGAACCCCAAAAGTATGCTTCGGGAAAGGCGAGCCCCATCTCAAGCAGGGTCCCCCGACAGAGCGCCCGGCCACAAATCCGAACGAAGGCGCAAAGTCCAATGGCCGCTTCTTCCATTTTTCTTCGGCGCCCGCGAAGAGCCACGCAGCGTTGCGCCGTTTTCTTTTAGCTCGACGCGCGCCCCAATCTTTCGCGTCGTCGCGGGCGCGATAAGCGTCGACTCTTAATGGCGCGCCTGACATAGTCTGCCCAACCTTCATTCTCGCCGCTCGCCGCGCGGAGCATGCTGCGCCGCACTTTTTACCGGGCGACCCTGAAAATCGAAGTAAAGCGGCAACATCCATCGTCCAACATTCACACCCATGCAACGCAGCCCGGGCCACCGTGCCGCCGCATAGTCGCATGCGTTGCCGTGCAGAATATGTCCGCGAGCGCGATGCTTGCGTGAATTTGCGAACGATTTTCAAGACTGCGCCAACCGGCTCGCGGTCTCGATCCCGCGGCAGCGGCCCGCGGATTACGGCCGCCCCGAATGTCCCTCCGATTCTTCGCGCCGCAAAATCTCAGCGTCGCGTCCAGAAAGAAAAATCGTCGCCGCGGCATTCGCGATTGATTTGGTTTAGTTTCTCCAAGGTGCACGGCAAGACCGTGCTTTGCCGCCTCGTATGTTGGATTTTCAACATCTGGACCACGTCCGCCATGCTTTGGGCTGGCAAGAGAACGTCGTCTGAACACCTGAAAAATCGTCAAAAAGGTTCCGGAACGGAGACCGCAACAAAAGCACCGAATTCCCCTGTCCTGCCCAGGTATGTTTGTCCCACAGATGTTTTGAACTGCGGAGGTGCGCTTCCATTACTGCCACAAAAGACGAAGCCGATTTCTCATTGCTTCACGCCGCGCGAGATGCCAAACGCCCTGGGCTCGCCCCCCCCCCCATGACGACTGCCTCTTGGTCTCGATCAAGTTTGCGGAGCAAAGCTGTGTACTTTGACCCGTCTCCAAATTCAGCAATGACCTTTCATAGCGCAACCTGTTCGACCTTCCAAAGCGTAGCATGAACAGGTCCACGCAACTCTCGCCAACATTTGCCTACCTGCGTGCGCTCGAAGCGCTTGGCCGAACGTGCCCGGGCCTCCTCGAGCACGAGCTCCTCCGTGTGGGTCTGGTCCGCACTCTCGAGGGGTCCTTCCATTGAGCGCTTCTTGATGCTTGCGAGCTCGTCAGCACGGCCCCGTGGAAGGTCGCCTGCTTCAGAGCCAGCCTAACTGCCAGCGCCTGGACGTTTCTTTGCATGTCAGCGGACTGCTGGGCCAAGCCTTCAGGAACATGATTGGCATTGCAGAACTGCCGTATACTAGCAGCGTCCATGAAGTGAAATTCAGGTTGGCCGACATCTATCGAGCAGGCGCATGGGCGCCGCCTGGCGCAGCATGACCTCCAGCTGCGCCAGCGGCGGCAGGGCCCGCGGCGGGGGCGGAGCCAGGGTGGCCTTTCTGCCCCGCCGTCGGCGCCCGTGGGGTCTGGGCGGCGTTGGCCGCCATGGCAGCCCTGGCCGCCGCCGCTGTCTGCGCCCGCTCCTGGCGCTTGGCCTCGATCCAAGCTGCCTCCGTGAATCGTCTCGGCTTCTCATTTGCTTCGCGCTTCTGCTGCTAGGCATCGTAAGAAACATGCTCAGCCCGTTGAAGGTTGGCGCGTGTTTCACGAAGGGTCTTCTCCAACTTCTGAACTTCTTTTTCTCGGAAGATGATCTACTTCATTGTGACGACAGTCGAACCGAGCTGGCACTGTTCGCCATTTCCCGGGTGAAGCGAATGTGTTCATGCCTGGCATCATCCGCGTACTGGGCCTGTGCCCGCTCCTCATCCTCGGGGGTCTGCTGTGGAACCATGTTTTCGAAGAACACTTCTTGAACATGTGGCTGAACAGCGAACACTGCTTCAGCGGCCGCGGGCAATTGAGGGTCAGCTGCGCCTGGTACTTTTCCACCGTTTCCTGCTCATGCACCCCGAGGGTGGGGGGCACGGGTTCCCCCATGGTGTTGTGACAGGTACGTCCGACACATTCGGAGCAACACCAGTTGCCGTAGGACCTGTATTCCCACTGCTTGCATGCAGCGCGTACATCGTACGCCTGGCTGGCACGTTCGGCAGCCTGCTTTTTGTCACCGTTGCGTCCCCAGCTGCCGCCGCGCGAGGGAGCATTGCTGAACCACGCCATGGCGCCGATTGAAAGAAGAAACAATGAAATAACTGCCGGATTTAGCAGCCTAGCCTGCCGCGGACTAGCGGTAGCCACGCGTTCCCCTGTGGAACAAAGCATCTTGAACAAAAACGGCTACGGGGAGGAAAGAGGAGGAGGAGAAAGAGGAGGAGGATGAAGATGGGGATGAGGTTTATGATGCTGATGCTGATGCTGATGCTGATGCTGATGCTGATGCTGATGCTGATGCTGATGCTGATGCGGATGCGGATGATGATGATGATGATGATGATGATGATGATGATGATGATGATGATGATGATGATGATGATGATGATGATGATGATGATGATGATAAGGATGCTGATGGTATCTGATGATGATGAGGAGGGGGAGGGGGGAGGAGGAGGTGGAAGGGGAGGAGAAAATGACAAGGACAAGGACGAGGAGGAGGAGGAGGAGGAAGATGGAGGCCCCTCTTCTCCAGGAGGTCGCCTTCGGGGCGCCCTCCCCTCGGGGAGCAGCGGCACGACGCGGACGGGCCACATCGCCGACAGATCGGCGCGAGGCGCTGGACGGGGAGACACCACGCTCCTGGGTAGGTCGGGGCCCCCAGCCCCCCCGTCAGCGTTGCCCCCCGCGCGCTTCGAAGGTGTGGGGGGGGGGGCCTGGCGCCTTTGGGGCCATGCTGTCCGCGGACATCAAAAGTGCATATTTGCGTGGATTTCTGGTTCCCAATGGCAGCGGTCTCCTTGGCTATCTTGGCCTCGAGGCTGGCAACGTCGTCTGTCCCTGTCTGGATCTCGAAGCCCAGGCTCACAGCCGTATCCTTGCACCAGGTGTCCTTCTCCACCTTGAGCTTGGCGGCCTCCTCGGCCTCCTTGGTGATCGTAGCCTCCAGCCCTGACATCAGCTCGAGCACCTTACCGATGGGGGCATCGCCGCTCGTGGCGTGGGCAGCGCCGATGAGTAGAAGAAGCACAGACGCCACCTGCATTGCTTCGGGTGGATCGGTCCTCAGCCTGCTGAGGTGCAGCGAGAACTCGCAGAAACCCCGCTTGACCCAGAGCAGCTGAGTGTGGAGGAAAAGGTGAGCTGGAAAGGGCGTCGATGGAGACCAACCGTACTTACATGATGGCCGCGGACCGAACCGACAACCGAGAGCTGGGTCTGGAACCGAACCGGCCCTCGACGGGAACCAGACAGGCCGAACCGAACCGGCCGAACCGAACCAGCCATCGACTCGAATGGCGCCCATGCTAGAGGGCACTCGTGGCCAATTTTGGCGCAAAGAGCCGCCACGCACGCCTGCCCACTCGCGCGCGATTCGCGGTCTTCCTCACCACCTATCCCCTCCAGCCACGGCCCGCCTCAACCTTCGTGCGGCGCAGAGCGCACCGGAGTCGAACCAGTGACCGCGCGTGCCAAGCAGCACGCGGAAACCTCACGAAACTCAGCCGAACCTCTCACAACTGGCTCCCATGTGTTGCGATGGCAATTGTGAGCGATTATTGGTTGGCGTTGAGAGCGGCGGTTCGGATCGACGCCTCCAGACAGTGTGGACACGCCAGTCGAGCGAGACGCTCGCAAAGCCAGAACCTGCAGTCGCAGCCCCGAGCAGTAGCCCCCCCCCCCCTCCCTGCGACAGGGCTATCATTTTCTTGGTCGCAGCCAGCCGACGAGCGCATGATCGTAGCGGTCTCGCCGCTTTCGTGGACTCCTGGGGTGCCCAGCAGGGTGGTGTCTTACGCGGATCAGAACTCGACCTCGCCGTCCCTGGGAGCTGCGAACTGCTCGGCTGTCGCCACTTTTGCGTTCTACCTCTTCGCTCCGCTGCCCTTCAGGCTACCGCCTCCCTGGTCTTTGCTCCTACTCTCAGGGCTTCTCTGTCTTCCTCAATGCAATCACTTGTCTTTGCCCTCATTTCCGCTCGCGGTCATCGTTGTCTTTCCGTCCTCTCCTTTTCGTGTTATACCTCTTTCCCTGTGAGTCGTGCAGTGAGCAGGCATCCCATTTAGCTTTCTCAACAAGTCGCGCTCCTTGTCGCGCCATCTTCTGTAGCATTTTGGCCCGTTGTTCTGGCCGCCAGCCATTTGCTGCAGATGGCAGATGTGTTGGTTACGTCGCCAAAGTATGTAGTTGAAGCATCTCGGCGTTCTCGCCCTTTCGGACTTCCAGCAGCCCAGAGCGGTCACAGAAGCCCTCCAGACTGCCTCAAGACGGCCCGAACTTGTGGGGCTATTTGGATGTCGGTATTACGGGCGGGAAGTTTTGCTTACCGTGTCGCGGCGGCGGCCCCGGTGACACGCTATGCCTTGCAAGCGGTTAGCGTGTCGCTCCGCTTCGCGGTGCGGAAGGGTCGGAAAGGCTCAGAACGTTAACGACTCGGGACCACGAAGTGGATAGCGTGTCGCGCCACAGCGCGGTGGGCAAGAACCAGCGGAGCGACACGCTGTGCAAATAATCCTGACCGTACGACCTATAAATTGTGAGTCACATGAGACCCTACCGGATCTACCTCCCTCCTCTTCCTCCTCCTCCTTCTCCTCCCCCCCCCTCCTCTTCCTGTTCCTCCTCCTCCTACTCCTCCTCTCCTCCCTTCTTCCTCACTCCTCCCGGCTTGCTCCTCCTCCCTCCCTCTCCCTCTCTTCGTTCGGGGAACAAAATGCTACCTGGAACGCTGCCTCCCAGGGCGCGTCCTGACCATGATTCCGAGGCGAACCCAGCCGTGGTGACGAGAGAGCCGCGGTATGCAGGGTGTGCGAGGTGGGTCGGGAACCCGTTCTGTAAATCTAACAACCCCAACCTGCTTCCTCCTCCTACTTCTCCTCCTCCTCCTCCTTATCTCCGCCTCCTTCTCCTCCTCCTCCTCCTTCTCCTACTCCTCCTCCCCCTCCCTGTCGTCGTCGATGTCTTTCAGGATCGGCGGCACCGGCCATCAAGCCTTCACAATCCAACAACCCCAACTTGCCGGGTGGGGAATGACACGCGGCCGTGGGGAACCCGTCAGCGTATAAGCGATTGCTGAAGAGCTACCAAATCCGCCGACCCCTTGTGGGTCTCTAGGCGTGTGAGATACTTCCCCCCCCTATAGGGACCCCGAACTGGAGATTTGACCCCCCCCCCCGGCCCCCCCCCCGCCCCCCCCCAGGCCCCCCCCGTCGGCCCGGCGCGAGCGCATCACGAGGCCTTTCCGGACCCAAGAGGGCCGGGCCTCAAGACGGGGCAAGAAGGCCCCAAGAGGCCTCCAAGACGGCCCACGAGGGCCCCGAGACGCCACACATGTGCTCCACGACGCCCAAAATGGCCCCGAGATTGGCCAAGAGGCCTCCAAGACGGCCCAAAAGGTCCCAAACAAGCCTTCCAAGAGGGCCTCAAGAGGCTAAAATTGTTGATTTTCCATTGTGTTTTTTTTTTTTTTCTGTTTTTTTGCCTTTTCGCCTTTTCGGCTCCCCGACGCTCCAACACGGCCCAAGAGGCCCCGAAGACAGCCACAAGACGGCACAAGAGACCCCCAAAACGGCCCCGAGACGGCCCCAGTTTGCCCCAAGACGGCCCAAGAGGTCCCCAAGACGGCTCCAAAACTGCACCAAGAGAAGCCCAAAAAGGGCGACCAAACATATAAAAAGCTAGCTTTCCGCCCCAAGAATCCCCAGGTGGCCCCAAGTGTGCCCCCAGAGGCCGCCAGAGGCCCCCGAGACCCTCCCCAGACGCCCCAAAGAACCCCCAAGAAGCCCCCCAGAGGCTCCGAAACGGCCCCAATGCGATTTCAAAACTACATTCCAGAGGCCCCCGAGAGCCGTGCCGCGGGATCCCGATACACATACAAGATGCCTCTAACCCATAACCCATGACTCTGAGCCTTCTCTCTGTGTCCCCCTCGTCCCCCCCCCTCCACCTCGGCCCCCAGGTGGCTTTAACATTGCCTCCCCGAGGCCCTCTCCTCTCCCTTCGTTTCATTCCCCACCCTCCTCCTCTCCCGATCCTCTCTCCCGATCCTCTCCGATTCTTCTCCCCCCCATCCTCCGCCCCCCCTCCTCCTTCTCTCCCCGTCCTCCTTTTCCCCCCCAGCACGCGAGCCCGATTTGGGCATCATTTGCATGTATTGCACTTCAGGGTGCCCTTCTGTTCGTCGCGCGCGACATTGGCAGGGTTCCCGGGAAACGCCGACTTCGGTAGTCTCCTCTCGCACGCTCCGCTGCGCTGATACGCTCGGCAACTGCGCGCTGCGAGCCCGAGTTGCACAGCCCCCGCGCACCACTTTGAGTTGTTTCGTCTTTTGATGATGTTCCACTTGTGCTGGCTTCAAATGTTTCGTGTCTGAGAATGCTCCTTCGCACGCCGCGCGCGTCAGCGGCTTCGCGTCCGCCTCAGCTTTCCGCTTCATATTATTCAGCTCGCGCGTCGTCCTCTCGCGCTCTTCCGCGCACCTCCGACATAGCCTCTCCCCTGCTGCTTTGTGCTTCTTTTGAGCATCGGACATCTCCGCCCCCTCTGGGAACGCCGCCAGACAGTCATCGTTCGAACAAAGCACTTGGCCCACGCGTTTCCTATGATTCGACTCGCGCGTCGTTGTCTCACGTTCTTCCGCGCATTTCCGACACAACCTCTCCCCTGCTGCTTTGTGCTTCTTTTGAGCATCGGACATCTCCGCCCCCTCTGGGAATGCCGCCAGACAGTCATCGTTCGAACAAAGCACTTGGCCCACGCGTTTCCTATTATTCGACTCGCGCGTCGTTCTCTCACGTTCTTCCGCACATTTCCGACACAACCTCTCCCCTGCTGCTTTGTGCTTCTTCTGGGCTTCGGACATCTCCGCCCCCTCTGGGAATAGCGCCAGACAGTCATCGCTCGAACAACGCACTTTGCCCACGCTCTCGGCCCATTTCGCGTTGCAACGGCGAGACTTCTGTTGCCCTTTGACACCGCTGCACTTGACACAGTACAAGGTCCGAATTCTTTTCGCGTCGACCCCATCGCCAACACCTGCCGCGCCCCCATCGCCGCCCTCCTGCACGCCTCCATCGCCCTGCGCTTTCGTTGCCCATCCGTCGCACGTCTTGCGCCATTTCTCGTCCCGGCTCTTCATCTCGGCGGTGCACTCTTTACAGAACGCCGGCCTCTCCTTCCGCTGGAACTCGTACTTCGTGAACGCCTCCACCAGCAGCCGTCGTCGGCAACGCCCGCGCTGATCGCGCGGCATCCGCTTCGCCTCCCGCTCCTCCCAGTCCACTTGATCCCCGCGAAGCACCTGCAACAATTTCTGCGCGCCTGGCATCTCCACCGCGTTGCGCGGCCCCCGGTCGAAGGGCCTGAAAGTCAACAAGTTCTCCCGCCTCCGCACGCGCGCGGTGGCAACGCAACCGGACATCCAACTCACGCCGCGCCCTCTTTCGAGGTCTGCTATCAGCGCTGCCATGGTTCGGCCCTGGGCAGAGTGCGCCGTTACTGCCAAAGCAGGGGTTGCCATAAATTGGGTGCGCTTCACATTCAAGACTGGATGCTTCCGATGCCCGCCCAAGAACCATTGCCGCCCTTTCGATGGGAAGATCGGATACAGCCCCGGCCCCCACCCGGGCAGGTGCCACTCCTTCGTCTGGAAGTCCAACACAATCACTCACGGCAGATGCAACAACACTTCCTCGTCTCCATCTCCCACGACCTCGTCCTCGCGCAGCGCCCATCCATGGATCGCGGCCGTGCGCCCCCGCAGAAGCTGTTTCTTCGACCGATCCAAGTGATCCCCCAAAGCCACGGGCATCCTTCTGGCCAGCGGCAGCCACCCAGGCAAGCTCGCGCACTCCTTGTCGTGGTACCCGAGCCAACGTATCTTATCCTCCACCGTGTACGTTCGCCTCTGTTCCCCTCCGTGGCAGGGGCGGCCCCTGGCCGCGACCCAGAGCAGCTGTTCTCCTCGCTCCTTGGCCCACTGCACAGCTCTCTGTTTCCCGACGTGGCAACGGATGTCTCGATTAGCATAAATGGTGACAGCGTCGAGGATTTTTGCCTCCCGAAACCTGGCGTCTTCGGGCGACGTCGCGACGAGCTTCCTCTTCTACCTTCCAACTTTACACGCC